CCAATGGCCCGACATAAAATTTGCATATGATATGATTTGATGCTTGGGCACATTTTCTGAGATTCCATGTGTTTAATTTAGTTTGTTTCAGGGGATGGGGGGGTTGATTTTTGGGATTTTGATAGGGATTGTATTCCTTATCTATGTTATTTGGTTTTGTAATTGGCAAATGAGACTGATGCTTTTTGTTATGGCTTATGAGAGCATAATAACTCTGTGCTATTTCTCAAAGCAATTTGAAGAGAATTTTGTAGGCTAATTTTTGAAGAGAATTGCTTTGGTACTTGCGTGGTCGTGCAAGGCATTGAGTTATATTTGGCATTATGCTTTTGTGTACATTTGTGAATTCTATATGAGCATTTGTAGCATTATACATGGGCATTTCTGCCATTATATATTGTTGTGTATGACACTATGTGGTGTAATGTTTGCCATTATGTCTTTTTTGACATTGTATTGGTATTTGATAGTTAATGCTACACTGCGACGACCACGATACATAATTGTGATGCTAATGTGGGCAAAAATGGTAGAGAGCGGTGTTGGTGGTGACGGCGAAAAATCAACAACGGCAATGGAGGGTTTTGACAACAGCAGCGGAGGAGACTCAAGTGATAGTGGCAGGGACACGACTAGGGCGCAGCGGCATCAGCAACCTGTTTGCGCCGGAGCAAGTTGCTGAATTGTTTTTTAGTTTCAAAACTATGACAAAGTTTCTTTTTTGGGTTGAGCTAACATTTGCATGTACTGTCTTGTTTTTAAGTAATCCGCCATAAGGTCGTAAGTAGGGTAGATGAGCAAAATGAGTGGCGCGTGGGTACAGTGATTGAATTACACAGATGAGTTGTGCATACATAAACTCCTATTTTGGGATTTTATCTTTCAACTCCTATTTTAGGATTTAATCAATGTTTTACTCCTTAATCCTTCTAAAATTAGGCTAATGTTTTAGAAAAAACAACTCTTAATATCGTCCGTTCTTTTTTCATTTTGTACCTCTCTCCAAAAAAAACTTCCTTTAGCCTAAAATCCGATATCGGCATATATACATTTTTTCTAAATGAGACCACATTCAATCAAATCAAATCAGATCCAATAAGATTAGATCATATCTAATTAAATCAGACTAGATCTAATCAGATCAGACCATATCAAATCCAATTATATTAAATTAGAAAAATATATAAAAAATAATATTAATATTTTCCAAGGATTAAAAGACTAATGACTCTTATTTTAGTATTTTCATAGTTTTTTACTCCTTCTTAGGGAGTTCTCCCTACTATTTTATTAAATCATATTAATTTATTTAAAGCTACACACACCTAAATCTTAATTAATATTATTATTTTGAATATTATTATTATAATGATGATGATTATTATTATTATTATTATTATTATTATTATTATTTCAACTACAAATTATTATTACTAGTAATTGCTTAGCTTGTAGAAATGATAATGTTAGGGGTTAAAAAGTTATATTTTCCATACTTTAAGAGGTGTTTTAAAATAGTTTTTTATAGGAGAATTATACAAAACTAGTTTTTAAACCGATAAATACTTTTAAAATTAAAAGGACCTATTTTTAAACTTAAAAATGATATAATATACACAAAGATGAGTTTATGACAAAATTAGTAGAGGTAAAAGGAACATTAGTGTTTAAGATTTTATGTGATGCGTAATTTGTAACATGCAACATATTATTATATAATATGTAAAAGAATGTGATATTTTTGTAGAATAACATCTATATTTTCCAATATTTGGTTATTTTAATACCGAGTGATAATATACTCTCTTCACTATATAAAAAATTGATAATTCAGTTTTCACATAAATGAAAAAATACAGTGATATTGAAAAGATATTTCATATTTCAAAGAAAATGTTTAAATATATCAATGATTATCTATTGTCAATGATTCTCTTATTTTAAATTTTTTATGTATAAATGAATTGTAATACTTTAAAACTACGGACTATTAAATTGTTGTAATAACATTTATTTAAATTAAATTTAAGTTCATTTACAAAAGATCTAATAAGATAAGATCTGATCCAGTCAGATGAGATCAGATTCAATGATGAGATATAATCATATCAGAACACATGCAATCAGATTGGATCCAATCAAATCATATTAGATCAAAACTTTAAAAATTCAGATCAGATTTAATCAGATCAGTCATACGGGACAGAGCCTTAGTTCTTATTCGGATACCTTACTCGAATTCGATGTTATCATTTACTTTTGAAGAAATATCTAAAATTTCTTATCCCAAAAATCAAAATAGAAAATATTTTTAACGTAAATACAGATAAAGAAATCTCCTTAGATAGGAGTAACAAAGTATGAAAAAATCAAAATAAGAGTCCTAAGTTTTTTACTCCTATTTAGTGAGATCTCCCTAAATAAGAGTAAAAAAATATGAAAATAAAAAAAATAGGAGTCCTAAGTCTTTTTAGACCAAAATATGAGTTTACACTGTAAACTCACCACATTGTCACATTGTAACTGTCACATAATCAACGCCACATTGTCATCCGTTGCCGTCAGCCACCAGAGTACCGGCACGGATCGCTGACACTTGACTGATCACATTGATATATTACACGGTTATCAGTTTTTCATTATATTGCCAACGCGTACTATTGCACCCCACAATTGACGTGGTTGGAGGGGTGAGTTGGGATCAAGACTTGGTGGAAGTATTTGCCGAGAGGGATTAGGGGGTAGGAACTATCAATTTTGCGAACGGAGCACCGTAGGTGCTCCAATTTGTTCATTGGCTTCGGAAGCCACTGAAAACCAGTGGCTAGAAGCCTACCGATAATTTTTGGAAAAATTATTCAAAATAATCTTAATTTTACATGGTCTTTGAAAAATAATTATACGTTTCACTGTGATGCATAATGATCTCAACTTTACTGAAATTTGCGTGTTTTGGGTCGCCGTTAAGTTTCCAACGGCAGGTTAATGGAAATGATTGTTTTACGCAATAAGATGAAAATTGGGATTATATTTGATGAAGTTTTGTTTTTTCGAATTTTTTTTGAAATTTTCATTTAAATTTTTTAAATAACTTTCTACCTCCATTTCTTCTTTTTAAAGATTATTCTTACCCAAGACAAAAATAAAAAAATAGATACAAAAAAATAATGAAATTGAGAAAAATAACTAAAATCATACTCCCTCCGTCCCTAAATAAACTTCCCCTTTCGTTTTTTCTTTGTCCCCAAATAAACTTATCTTTTCCCTTTAAAAACCCCTTTTACCCCTTACTTTTTCATATCCTACCTATCACATCATACCTTTTTACTAATAATCTACATATCACATCTTACTTTTACACATCACATCAATGGTATTTTTGGAAAGGCAACACAAAAATATCCCTCCTTTAAATCATCAAAAAGTCAAAAAGGGAAGTTTATTTAGGGACGGAGGGAGTATAAAATTAATGAAATAAATAATGTAATCAATTGAAATTAATTGAAACTGGTAAGAAATAAAATAAATATATACAAACTAGTGGGTTTTAAAATTTGCACATTATACAAAGTCGTAATATACTCTTAATTTTTTAAAAGAATAGGCCGTTCGGTAAAATTCAAATTATTCTAGATAATTATTTCTAAAAGATAAGAACTGATACGTTAATACTTTGTATAGTGTGTAAAATATTAAAATCCACCACTTCATATATTTTTATTTTATTTCTTACCAATTTTAAGTTAGTTTGTATTGTTATCTTATTTATTTTATTAATTTTGTATCGTTTTAGTTACTTTTCTCATTTTTGTTATTTTATATCTTTTATTTTTATTTTTTAAAGTAAGACTAATCTTTAAAAAAAGAAAAGGAAATGACGGAGTTAGAAAATAATTTAAAAAATTTAAATGAAAATTTTTTAAAAAATTAAAAAAGTCATAAAAAATAAACCAAATTTTCATTTTGTTGCGCAAAACAAGCCGTTTCCGTTAACCCGCCGTTAGCAACTTAACGGCGATCCAAAACTTACAAATTTTAGTAAATTGAGATTATTATGTATCACATTGAAATATGAGATTATTTTTAAAAGAACATGTAAAGTTAGAATTATTTTAGATAATTTCTCCATATTTTTTTGACATGACATTCGTGCGTTCAAGACACCTATGATGCTATGTTAAGCTCGAGGGGAGGGGAGTAGGGAGGTTGGAGGGCAAAAGGGTTTTGGAGGGTTTAGGAGAGTATAAGACACTTTTTAGGCGCAAGAGAGCTCAATGTCTTAAACATGGACTCCCTCCGTCCCACTTTATAATGCTTTTTTCGGTTTATGATGTTTGATTAAAATTATTTTCAAATCATTTTATGTGAAAAATGGCATAGAGTTAAAAAAAAAAATTACATATTAAAATACTACATCAAAAGATCTATAAAATAGTATTGACAATAGTACTTTATTTTATCAAATTGCTAACGAAAATAGAAAAAAATAGTGAATGACGTTTGACCCTGTAAATAGTGAACAAACACTATAAATTGAAACAAAGGAGTACATTTTAGAAAGTACAAATGATATTTATAGGTGCATGAGTAATTAGAAAAAATAATCTTGTGCGTAATAATATTAATTTTTATCATATTATATTTCATACAAAAGTACATCTACATAATTTTAATACATAGTATGTAATTTTGAAAACCCCTACGTAGTGACTCGGTTACATCAGGTTCGGGTTCATTCAAAGATTGACCTAATTTTTGGATGTCATCTCTAATTTGGTTACAAAAGTTTTGTTCAAATCCAAATATTTTCGAGTTGGATCTTGGGTCCAAAAAAAGGTCCGGTCTATCCTACAATATTAGGCTTCAAAAAAAATCTCTATGAGCTATGCAACCACAACAACCCAGTTAAATCCCACAAGAGTAGGATCTGGGGAAGGTGTGTGTACGCAGACCTTGCCCCTACTCGAAAATAGAGAGACTGTTTCCAAAGAGACCCCGGCTCAACGTCAAAAGTTGTATTGCTTGACTAACTACTACTTCATTAATTAAAGAAGCGCAGACAATTTAGAGATCCATTTTGATTTATTCTATCACACCCTAAAGCTAAAAAATGGTGAAATTTTGGCTCCATCGGATATATGGAAAACTCTATGAGCTATGAAGTTTACAATTTTCCCCCTTTTCAACCGCCCCAAATGGTGATTGCTTTCCAAGGTTTCTTTAGGCATGGGAAGAGGTGATGAACCATGTCAAATTCGCATCCTCTTGGAAGGAGGACCTTGGTCGAGGATGGGATCCACCGGAAGCTGCAGTTGGGCATCTCCTTGCGGCTGCTTTTCCGAACCTTCTGCAATTGAAGGGCGTGTATAACCCTCTGGAAAGGGAGGCAGCGGCGGAGCTGGCGGGAGCTGCAAAAACACAGATAAAAACCCAGTGTTAAGAGTAGACCATCTCTAATGATCTTCTGTGTTCGACTTTTACGAAATTTAAGAAAAGTGTTGAAAAGTGAAAAAATGAGGGTTTAGATTTTGATGATGAGAGCATTTTTTTGAGCCACTCATTTTTTAAAAAGGAAAGTGAAGATCTTTTTTGGGACAGATGAAAAAAGAAAGAATGAAGAGTATAATATTGGGGCGAGTAAAGTCACCTTGCGTTGTAGAGAAGCGAGAATATGATCTACTCGCTTAAGTTCTTTAAAGTCTATAGTCTCCTTCGGAGCCTTTGCCTCAGCATTCCCGCTCTCATTTTCAGCTTCCACTGCACGTAACACGAATATGCACGAGTAAAAAAAAGATCCTCTCTTTGAGATGCATAGAGTGATAGACAGCTGAAAGAGAGGATCTTTTTTTTACTCGTGCTTGCAATTCCAAATGATATGTTGGTGATCTTTAATTCATTTCAAATCCACAAATGCTTGCAATTAGAGAGATATTATGTGAATTATTCCGAATACCAAAGTCTACTAAGTTTGATTCTAATCAAGCATGTAATTTTGGATGAATATGAAACGACTTAATAGCCAAAATATTCTTCAAAAATGCAAGAAGCAAAGGTTAGTTTTTCAACAATTCTTCAATACAACATATCCACTTGCATGATGCTTTATTTCATGTGACCCACACTTATAGAAAACTGAATAACTAGTTACGGGAAAATCTTCAAAATCCTTATCCAAAAGTCATCATCAAGACTCAGAAATAAAATTGACTGAGGATGGCACTAAAATGCTTGCACTATGATGGTAATTGATGCCTCGAAAATATAATATTATACATTATAGCATGTTTGAAGCAGCATATTTTTTTAACACAAATCATGAATCGTGAAGAATAAACTATAAAGATCATGACTTTTCAAATCTTCTATGAGTCATAAAAATGATATTGAGCATGTCAACTGAAAAACTAAAAAATGAAGGAGAGAGAATAAGTACTCCGTCATAAATGGAAGAATAACAAAATACCATATCCAATCTTTTCCAATTTCGTGGCAGCAAAGGTAAAAGCTTTTGATATGTGAAATAAAGCTCGTCCCTACAAGAAAGAGATCAAAGCAAAGTGAGTGTGAAGGTTAAGAACCCTAACAATAACAAAGTCTCAATGACTAACAGAAATGTGTGCAGAACACTTCACGGTTAACAAGATCATTAGAAAGGACACTTCCATTTGCAACTTTGACTTGATTGCAAAGAGTGGATCAAGTTCTATGATGATAACAGACAAATTCTACGCAACAGAAGAAACAGAATCTCTATGATGATGTGAAACTGCAAATCTGGTTACCACAGAGTGTGTGCTGGAGTTAGGGGACCGAAAAGGTTATCAAGGATCAGTACAAAAAAAAGCTGGTGGCATACGATAGAGACCTAGAATCAGTGAATCCCCCAATACTCCCAAAGTAAAAGAGTGTTTGTGACTTTGGGTTTCCAAAGGTGATACACTTCCAATTAAGAAAATGAGTAATCATGAGTTCATGACTAAAATTTGGATCATTTAGCTATGTAGAAAATGTTTATCTTTTGAAAGGGAAAATCAGTTCAAAGAAGCTAATGCTTACGGAAGGTCCAAAAAAAGGAGTTGGTTCATTAAGGCCTAATGTTTGCAGACTGAAGTATTACCTTATGAGGGTGTTTGGGAGTGTGGTGAGTTATGTAAAAGTAGAAGTCATAATTTAGAAGCAGAAAGCATGTATTTGTAGCTTTGTTAGAAAGCACTTCTAGACCTTAATTTTAACTTCTAAACCCATAATTTATAAGCTAAAGCAGATCGGCAAACATTTAAAATTGTGTTTTAGTAAAGTAGAAGCTATAAGTTATTTTCAAATGCAATCCCAAACACCCTCTATATATTCCCATAAGAGGATATTTATGTAGATAAGAATAGATGAACTATGAGTAATATAGAAGACTACAACTAAAGTTCTAAAATATATGGAGTAATTGGTTTACTTAAAAATACTAGTAAAATTTATTAAATTTCGTATGAGTAAGAACTAGGGTTAATGCCAAAATACCCATATACACACTAAATGACCTAAAACCAAACACAACCATTGGCTTCTGCTCACTTTTACCGCCTCCCAGCCACATTGACCACCACTATGGGCGATATTGGTCACCCCCGAAAGCGTCACACCATCTGAATCACTGCCCATGAATCCATTACTGCTTTCACTGTCAAGCCCCCAAGTTCAATTCCCACCATCTCCCCCATTACCACTACACAATGATTGCATCAAAATCTTTCAAAAGACACTGTCCTCACCATACAAGCAAAAAACGTCCATGTCACTGTTCATCAACGCACAAGAGTGGAAAAATAAAATTCATTGTCCTTATGTGCAGTGAGGAAAAAAAATTGAAGGCATCACGAAGAATATCTGCGACCATGGACTTATTATCCATTTGCACAACAAATCAATGTCAAAAAAATATAATCTGCCTCTCCCATTCTTGGTGTTCCTTGTTAAACGAGACGAGGATGGCCGAAGATGTAAAAACCAGGAGTCCAAGACGGAGGCATGATAGCATGGCAATGACAATCACATACGAAAGTTACTGGTGGGCATAAATTTTGGAAAGTAAAATGGTATGGGAGAAGTCCCGAAGTGAAGAATGAAGGGTCGGGAAGAAGTTGTCAAGTGAAAGGAACATGAAAGTAGTAGTTAGAGATGCAGGAATATGGTATTGTATGGAGAGTAGGTAACTGATTATTATTATAGTAATTTAATAAGATCTCGGTGTACTAGTTCATAAAAAACTTAAGTATTGCTCATCTTTTTCTATGACCAAATAACAGCAAGTGAAGGAAAGAAAACATTTAGGCAGTAGATGGGGAAAGATCCCATGTTTTACTCAAAATTATTTCGATAACTATTATATCACTTCTGCAGGTATATGGTTTGAAGCCTTGAACCCATGACTTCAAGGTTGCAATGAAAATAAACAACATATGCAAGCATTATGAAGCTCACATCAAACAGAACTTGGAAGGAAGTAACTACATCCATGAGATAACAGATTTAGAAACCAATATGCTTCATTTTCATACAAAAAAAAACTTTTTACTATATTCTCTACACCAGCTAGATCACACAAAATGACTGAGGAGATACTAACCAGTCTAGCTGCAAAGACATTGCAGAGCTGGGGAGCTTGGTAAATTGAACCATCCAAGACATAATAAGTTAACATTGGTGTGACTTTCTCAGGACTATCTCTCTTTTGTTTACGAATGACAAAGTGATGGGGCTCCATAACTTCACTAAGTGTGTATTCAATTCCAGTCATTTTTCTGCATTTAGAATCACACAGCTGACATATGTGATTAAAGCTTAAACCCCAAAATGAAAAGGGAGACTCATTATCCTTGACAATTTTGAACACCATGTTGCAATACAGCTATACAAATCCCACCCCCACAAAAAAAGAAGAAATTTGCAGTCCTCATCACGACAAAATGAACTTGTGAGCCTCAATAGTGTGATGATAATCCAACTCAGAAGCACTAACTTTACTGTAACACACAGTTTTCCTCTCAATATTCAGGGGAAAAAATTTCAGAACTTAGGTGCAGAATGAATGTGTAGGCAGTGGAGAAAAAAGAGAGCTTACGACAGATGAGAAACATCGAGGGGGTGAATAGAGCGCATTCGGATCTGTTCATTATTGCAGGTCCAGTCATAGAAAGGGGAAAGAGCAAAGTAATCGAACACCAAGTTTCTATCGAGAGGGTAAGAGTTGAGCCACAGCTGATCCCTGAAACATAGCCCGGTCATGTCCGTCCCCGGCGGTGCCGGCACGCCTCCATCTAAATTCGGATTCCCTGTCGCCGGGTTGGGCGGGACCATCGGCGTATTAGCCATTGCAGATGCGTGTATGTCTGAACCGAGAGCTTGTAAGTTGGATTAAGGGTAGAGACCGGCGGCGGTTGTGGATTGCCTCCCTATTCCAGTAGAAACTGTTTTTAATTGGATCTGCGCCGCCGCTGGGGTCTCATCTTGTGGCGGTGGCTGGGTCTTCTTCTCCGAAACCGCGACAACCGGGTTTGGCTGGGAAAAAGAGTGGCTTTGGAGTGCATATGAAACATGTAGTACCACATTTGAATGGACCATGCTACACTTACACTAAAAAATATATTTCATTTGTACACCGCATGTTTGCACAAACATTTCGATGGTTTATACCGACACAAATATTGGTGCGTTAATAAAAATTCACACGGACACAAATGTTGGTGCGTTTAACAAAAATTAGTTTTACACCAACACAAAGTGTTGGTGCAAAACTGTGGGTACAAACCTCGGGGTACACATAGCATAATCCCATTTGAATTGTCCCTTCGTCGTTGAGTAACTTTTTTAAAATTAAATAAAGAGCCAGAGTTACACCAAAGATGTACCTCATTTGTCTTTCGCCCCTTTTTCCATCACATATTTTTATTTATTTATATTTTTTTGACTCTCTTGCCCATTTATGTGGACAAGGAGGGGATGAGGGACAAATGGGGTACACCCCTAATATTTAAATAGGGATTGACACCAGTTATAATATGAATTTTGAAATCTAAAATAAATTTGTTTCAAAAAATTTAAAATCATGATTTAATTAATGAAAAGCGAGAATGACTGACAACGAGAGTTGATGGCAGTGACAATGGTAGCTGATGATTGAGCAAGAAATCAAACATGTATATTGATATCTCCCAAATTCGAGAGATAATAAACCCTTCAATTCAAAGGATCTATTATAGCTGAAGATATTGAATTCGATATCTTTTTTTACTTCACCAAACACCCAAAAAGAATTTTAATATCTGGAGATATCAAAACTCATATCTTGCTTTACATTGGTCAAACTTTTACAATTTGTCATCCCAAAAGTCAAAACATGAAAATTTTTTCAAGACAACAGAAGTAATATAAGACTAAATATCTCTATAGCCTTGTGACAATTTAACATTGTATATGAAATATTAATATAGTGAAAACCCCCTAAATAGGAGTAAAAGATACTCCCTCCGTCCCCCATAGATCTTCCCAATAGCCATTTTTCTTTGTTCACAATAGATCTTCTCATTTCATTTTTTAATAATTAAAATATCACAACTACCCCACTTAATTTATTTATTACACCTCACCCACCTCATTTAATACACTCCACCCATTTTCATTAAGGATATTATGGTAAACTTTCACCTTTTTTCAACTCTCCTTAAAACCACAAAAAGTCAAAATGAGAACATCTTACGGGGACGGAGGGAGTATGTCATATCCCAAAATAGGATATCAAACTTAAACTCCTTTAAATAGGAGTAATTATGCTAATTTTATTAAATCAGGCTTTCACCCCTTTCGGATCAAATGCTATCATGCTCCTTTTTCTCTCTCCTTCTACACATTCTAACATGTGTACGAGTCGTGCCGCATGATTCGCATGTCCATCTTAATCTCTCCGATCCAATTGGTCTTTTTCACATATTGAGAATGAATAAGAGCTTCTAATTGTTCTTTTTCATGAGATCTGCAAAATATTAGGAAGTACATTAGTAAAAGATAGAGATACGATCTGACACCTTGATTTATATTCCTTCTTATTAAATTTTGATTTTACAATAATAGAACTGAATTGTTATTTTTTTTGTTTTTGAAATTATACAGGATCAAGTTTGTCATTATGTAGTGATATGTTTGTCATTGTGATTGTCGTATTTGGCATTGTAGATTCGATTGCCACTCATGCTATGCATTTCTATGTATTATTACAATAGCTCATTCAGTCTTTGTTTTATTAAGAAGGAACATTTAACCATTATCAATGGCCACCGCCGTATATATACGAAATGATGCCGAAGATTAGTTTTTTTGCTACAATAAAAAAGGTACACAGTGTCATTGGATTTGGTTTGACATTATGTCATTGTGTAACATTGTAACATTATATATGGGCATATATGTGGCATTATATATGGGCATCTATGGTACGGTATTAAATATTGTCATATGTGATATTACATGGTGTCATGTTTGATATTATTATGTCTTTCTTAGTTTCTTTGACACTATATTGACTATTAATGTGCCACTGTGGCGACGATGATGTAAATTTTATGATAGTGTTGTTGATAATGGTATAGAGCAGTGATATCGTCGGCGGTGACGATGAAAAATCAAAAGCGTCAATTGTAGGTTTCTTTGTAGCGGTGCGGCGGAGGCAGAGGACGGCGGTGGTAGAGATTCAAGTGATAGTGGCAGGTATGCGGCGGCGACGATGGCGGCGGTGGGCATCACCGTAGACGACGATTGTGATAGTGGTCGTCGCTGTCTGTAGCATGCTGTTGTGAAATTGGCCGAATTTTTTTAGTTTTGAACTTGGCCACCACTGGTATTTGCCGCAAATGTAGCGCATGTGGGGAGCATTTTTTTGTTTTATCAATTAAGTTAAAATCTTTATTTTAACTTTTTATAAAAAAAATAAAAAAATCAAAAAAATCAAAAACATGACTGCCAAAAGAATAGTCTCATGTAGTTACTTAGTATAGTGCTCCTTAAGTTAAAATCTGATCATGCTCCTTAGAAAGAAACCCGCGAGTCGGCCGGGTCAAACCGGTTCACCGGTTCTGCCGGGTCTGGGCGGGTCAATGCTGATCCGAGTTTTACATTTGAAATGGACCGGATTCCTCACCGGTTCGCGGTCCGACCGGTTGGGCCGGCCGGTCCGGTTCTAATAACATTGCTCTTTGTTCCTTCTCCCATTAATATAAGACTATAAGTATCAATACAACCTTGTGACAATTTAACATTGTATAGTGATATTTCATAGTTTTTCTTAAATTATGTTTCATATAATGACATTATTGACGTTACAACTTAATTTTAGAAAAAAAATGAAAATTTAATTTTAATATTTTCTCCTTATTTTACTTCAAGTTGTTTTTTCCTTAACTTGAACCATATTGCTAAAAAGTTAACAAAGATAACCAATAACAACACCTTTAACATTGTTGCAAGGTAAATTGTGTGTTGTCTCTACTCATTTAGAGTGTGGCATCAATGTGATCAGCCTCTACTCTCTATAGCTCTGAGAGCTAGGGTATTGGACAAAAATTTTAATCAGCCTTTAAAAAAAGAGATCTTATTTTTAAAAGATCTGACCAAAAGATAAAACACAAATAAAACACAGTATTCAGATTCAAAATACCTTAAAAAAAGAGTAGCAGCAAAAAACAAAAGCAGATTAATTAATTAGATATGATCAGAAACTAAGAGCACCCTTCTTGATGAGATCTTTGTGCAAGAGCAAAAGATCCTTAAACTGCTGCTGCTGCTGCCCCTTAGTAGAAGTTGCATCAAATTCATCTACCAAAGCCAACACTTTCCCAAAGTACTCTTCGAATGCGCACTCGTCTTTGAACCCAGCACAAAGCATCTCCTTCACAACACTAAAACCCGAATCTTCGTTCTTCGAACGAAACGTGCCCTTGTCCTCAACAGCACCAACCTCAGACACACATTCTCTGGGAACGATTTCGTTTCCCTTCACCGCATTATAATCATCGTCCTCCACACAATCACCACCGACCGCAACGTGATCATCATCCGACACCAAGGTAGTATTGCTTGCATCAGCACCAGCATCATCATGTGGAATCTCAAGAGAAGATTCGGCGACCTTGGGGTTCATCTGATTCATCTCTGCTGAAATATATGCCGAAGCGGAAAAAAATGTGTTTAGTTTTGGGACGAAAGGAGTAATAATAATGTAAAATACAATATCAAAGGAATCACTAATCAATTTATATACAATGGGTTTGGTGTGATATTCATGCTAGCAATTATTTATACAATATCAAAGGAAACACTAACCAACTCAACACAAAAACTAATATTTAAAACACATTTGAAAATTTGAGTATATTGATAACAAATTTAAGTTATTCCATTAATTTTAAAATGTTTTAATTTCATGTAAGGCAGAATAATTTACAAAGATTACCAAAGTGTGGGAAGATGATATTACCTGAAACAAATGTTTAAAAAGCATATACTCCCTCCGTTCCACAAAACTATTCCTCTTTCGTTTTTTTTGCTTTCCATTAAACATTTCCACTTTCTATTAAAAAATCACTTTTACCCCTACTTTTTCATACCTTACCTATCACATCATACTTTTTCACTAATAACCAAACTATCACATCTTACTTTTTCCCATCACATCAAGGGCAAAATTGGAAAGTCAACCAAAATTACACTTTCCTTATTTTCCCCCAAAGTCAAAACCGGAAGGGTTTTGTGGAACGGAGAGAGTATAAAATAATTACACAATAATCTCAAATTTAGAATCAATAAATCTCATAACAGTATTTTTGCGAAAAAGGGAACATTATATAGAGGGTACGTGAAATATATAGTAAAAAAGAGTAGGGAAAGAAAGCCGATGCTTACTTCCTATATTTCTTAAAATAGTCGAACATCTTTCATTTTTTTCCAACTTTGTACGAGGCACTTCATTTTTATTAAAAAATCACTTTTATCTCTATTTTTATTACCGGACAAAATTAGAAATATCAACTAAAAAATAGTTAATGCACTCATTATTTCACACATTAGTGAAAATAGAAACTCTTTAAGAAAGGGAGGAATATTAAATTACCATGATATTCTTTAAGAGGGCATTCATCTTTGAACCCACCAAGCGTCACCTTCTTCACATCAGACGACGCCGCATTATCCTCCTCCGCCTCCGCTGCAGCGGCAGCCACCACAGACGAAACGCCTCCTTCGTCTTCACCCTTTTGAGCGCCAGCGGTTGGGCTTCCGTTCACGCCATTATTGTTATTAGTATTATCGTCTTCCTCCACGCCGCCGCCACCAGCAGCAGCCCCAACAACAACGTTGTCACACTCCACCATGAGCACATGTTGATCTTCTTTCACCTCTTTGACAGACTCAACAACATCCTTAGATCCATGTTCCACACAGCAGGTAGTTACCTTGGGGATCACCTCTGTACAAATTTAATAAAGCACCCATCAATTAGTGTCAAACACGTACCATTATACTCCCTCCGTCCCACAAAAAAGTTCCCATTTTGATGTATTTTTGGTCAACCAATTACACGTTTTGACCATAAATTAAATATAATCTAAATAAAGAAATGCTAAAAAAAATTGAGATATCAAAACTAGATCGTAAGATGAATCCAATTATATTAAATTTATTTTATAATTCAATATACCTTTCTCACAATTTGTAGTCAAAGCGTGTAAATACTTGACTAAATACTATTTAAAATGGGAACTTTTTTGTGAGACGGAGGGAGTATTACATTGAAAACAAATTATAAGATGATTTTGGAATTAAAATAAGAGTTGCTAGGAGTAATTAACGTTACCATTATTATCAGGATTAATGTTGGTGGAAACAATAGGATTGGGAGTTGATGATGATGATGATGATTTGTTGAGCTTATTCCTGGCTGCTCTTCTTTTCTTTGGACCTGAAGGCATTTTTGTTAATGCTTTTATGAGTGAATAATAATTGTGAGAAAATGGGGTGTTCCAAGTTTATGAAGATGAGTATATATATATATATATATATATATATATATATATATATATATATATATATATAATTAATTAATTACTCGCGGTTGGGATGGAGAGAGTCTCGAAGCTTAATTACTTTGGGAATTAAAATAAGAGTTAGAGAATTGGAAAAGGTTAATTAGTTGCAGCGCCGCGCCCATTCAATCACTCATTACTGCGGTGTCTACTGTACTACTGGCCGGAGAGAGTATCCATGCATATTGTGCCAAAATTAATTGGGACCAAAGTAAGACTAAAACATTAATAATATACCAAAATAGAACTTTCATGCTTTTATTTTTGAAATAGAACTTACATTACTATACATATACATTACCAAAAAAGTGTATTAATTTGTACATCTACACTAACACATTACAACATGGCAAAGTCACATACATTACCACTGCAAAGTACTATTTCAGGAAAAAAAAACATGAAAGTCCTATTTTGGTACTTTTCTTTATATTTTAGTCCTATTTAAGGCGATTTCTAAAATTTCCAAAGATTCGCAAAAATAAAACTAAATCGAAAAATACCTTTAAAAAACTGAATTGTATTTTATCTCCTTTTATTTTCTCCTATATCATTATATTTGATGCTAAATTGTATTCATAATTTTTGTGTGTGACTCACACTCTTTCTTTATTTCATAAAATTCATACGAATCATATATATACTTTTTCATTTTTTTAAGTTGTTGTCACTAATCTATGTAAGAAAGGTACGGAGACAAATGAAGAAATATTTTTTATTAATTTTAATTGAAAGACAAATGAACCAATTCATTCACACAAAAACATTAAGTGTTTAGTTTTTCATATGGATCTCAAGAATATTTAAACAATTTTTTGTACTTTTTAAATCTTTTTTATTTTATAAAAGTTAAATAGAGAAACTTTTATGCAACGGAGATATAGTAATTAATATACCTCCGATATATGCACATATAAAACTAAACAATATTAATCTCACAATTATTTCTTCACATATTAAATATTTAAATTGGTGTATGAATATATATATTTTTGCACATGCTTAGAATGTGCACATTATAAAAAAGAGTGGATACACATTTAAAAGTTATGGAACACTTAATGAAAAAATAGAGTGCACAATTATTTAGGTCAAAATTTTAAAACATAACTAGTACATCACCCGTGCGATGCACGGGAAAAAACCTTATCCTAATTGTGAAAAATATTTTATATAAGAAATATTAAATTATTAGGTATTATTTTGAAAATAGTACATACGTAAGCACTTCAATTTATAAATATTTTCATTTCTATTAATTAGCATAGACATACAAAACATAAAAGTGAGAGAAATCAATAGTACTATGTTCAATAGATAATATGAGAATGAAGCATAATTAGATAATATGAAAATGAAAGACTAAAAACTGACCAATTAATTATTCTCAAATACCTCCTTATAAACTACATTTATTGCAGTGTTAGCTGAGGTATTTTTAAAATTACATATCATTATTTTTAAACAACGCGAGAACGTACCCTAGACATCGCTACATACATCTGTCTGTGACTGAAAACTGATTCTTTCAAAACAGGCTAACATTAGAAAGATTGTTCCTGACTTTTGTTTATGGTAATCACGTACAATACTATAACTGAAAATTATCTTCTTTGAAACTTAAATGACAATCTCGTATTTGAAGAACTTAATGAAACTCGCATGATCATAAGAGCTTGTCCTGCATTTTTACGTAAATCATTTTTGCTTCCAAAAGACGGTTACCAAGTCTTGTAACAATTTACTGTATTCAATTACAGAGACTGTTAGCATGATTATTATATATCTTTTGTCACTTCTGATTTTATAGAATTTTTTTTATATATTTTTAAACAATGTAATTTACTCCGTATATTTTTATTTTTATACTCCCTCCGTCCCAAATTATAATGCATGTTCACTATTCACAGGGTCAAATTTCATTCACTTTCTTTCTTTATTTTCGTTAGCAAATTGATAAAATAAAATATTGTTGTCACTACTAGTTTTGTAGATCTTTTGATGTAGTATTTTGATATGTAATTTTTATTTTTTAACTCTATACCATTTGTCATATAAAATGATTTGAAAATAACTTCAGTCAAACATCGTAAACCGAAACAGGCGTTATAAAATGAGACGAAGGGAGTATCAATTTGTAAGAAAAATGATTTTATATGCATTCATTAGAGAATCATAACTTTGGTTGCATCCTTTTATTTTTAAAAAGGCGGCCAAAGTGGGGTTGATTCTTCATCCATTAGAATGTTTTCGATGCTTCTACATGCTCCATTTCTATTTCAATATTCTCTTTTTATCTATATGAATCATTATTTTTAAATATTTTAATGAAATGAATAATAAGTTATTGACTTTTTACAATAATTGTGGGATTTAGAACGATCTATAGACTTTCTGGAATCTAAACAAATCAAATTCGATCATAAACTACATCATTATCAATTTAACTACAAATAGAATTAAAATAATTCATTGATTTTATGTCATTCATGGAATATGATATATATCACGTAATCTTTAAAAATATGGATTGAATACTTCTCTAAGATTTTGCCTACATGTATTTCAAATCTTTAATAAACACCGAATATAAATAAAAAACACAAAGTTGTGACTTTCGACACAGGAAGGATTTTATACTCTAACAAACTTCAATGACTCTTGCTCTTTAATGTATAACATTGAATGACATTTCTTTGGTGCTAAAATGAAATTCATATTGACTATTTACACGATTAAATTTTATCTGCTTTATCCACTTTTTTTAAAAAAATGAAATAGTTTTGTCACTTTTTTTATAATAGAATTATGTTATAAGTCTTAAATATATAAAATTTTACTCCGAGTATCTTTTAAATTTTAATTCAATATCAATTTCTCAACCAAATTGAATTGAAAATAACTTTTATAAAAAATTATATCAATATTTAATAATGAGATAATATTGAACTAGATACCTTGTCCACATCCAAATCCAATTTTATACTTTGAGATTACATTGTCAAATAACCTTATAAAGAGAAACATTTCTAATCTAATAGATCAGGAAAAAATATGAATTGAAATGAAACTCCCAATGATATCATCAACACTGGTTACACTCATAATTTAACTAAATTCACACTCGTATGTAATGTCTCATTTTCATTGTAATGATTGTATTTTTAATTTTATTTAATATTTATATATTTCTACTCAGGTTAAATTCTATTTTTTAAAATAATAACTAAAATTAACTTGGTATTTTTTTATTTTTCTATCTCTTATTCTTTCAATATTTATTTTAAATCTCTTTTTTTCCATTTTTATATAGAATTTGTTCAAATTTTTTGTCCCATTTTATTTGTTTGATTTTTTATACAATCAAGAAAATAAAAAAATAAATAAGATTAATAATTCTAATAATAATACTCCGTAGAAAATAATTTATTGCACAACTCAACCGCCAATTGTGAAAAATTCATAAAAATACGTTACAAATAACACTAATTCTGTCTTGAGTTTTACACATATGCTTTACTTTTATACCATAACAAAAAACATAAATTAGTTTAATTTAAAAGGAAAAAATATTTAATGATCTAATTCAATATTAAAATATGTTTCATTTAAGAAATATAATGATAAAGCATAGCTCATTCAATTTAGAAGTGTTTGAAAGAAAAATGAAAGGCAAGTTAAAATAATGATGCTAGTACAAAAATTAATATTCCCTATGTTCAATTTTTAAGTTCACAGTCCACAAATAATTTTTTCATTTTCTTTTCTTGATAAATTTTCTTTGTTAAAATGAATTAAGTTAAGTACCCCTAAATTTAAAATTTTTTACTTACTACCTCCGTCCTAGTGTATTTGTCCAGTTTGACTTTTTCGAGTTAAACTGAACAAACATTGAACTCCAATCACTCTCAATTTATATTGCATATTAGTATAATGAAATACAATTTTTAAAGTTCTCAATGCGACAAATCCTATAAAGTTATTTTTATGTTAAAATACATTATGATTTTTATTTAATTAAAGCTCAATGTCCAGTTTGACTCGAAAAAGTCAAACTGGACCAATACACTGGGAGGGAAGTAATATTTCTTTCCTCTTTCCTTCTTCATCCCTGCTGCAGCCCCATTTCCCTTCCTTATTACGGAGTATTCTTTTCTTTTCTCATTTCTTCTTCTTCTCTTCAGAAGGTTACCAATTTTCATCTCTCATTCTTCTCTCTTTTTTCATTTCTTCTTCCGCTCCTTCTTCTTTTCTTATTGTTCTTTCCTTCTTCATCCCTCTTTTCTTCTCACCCTTCCACCTATCTATTTTTCATCATCATCTTGTTTCCTTCTTTCTTCTTTCTTTCTTTATTCTCCCCCACCCTTTCGATTTGGTCCAGCCGCCCTCCATCGTCATCTCTTCTTCTTTCTTTTCTTCTTCAAATCTTCTCCAGATCTTCTATTCTTCTAACTTGGTCCAGGCACAACTCAATTTGGTTCTGAAATGATGCCCACAAAAATTCTAAAATAATGAGGTTAGGCGAAATTTGGTCGCCGGAAAATGCCGCCGGCGATGTCTTTTGCCGGAAAATGTTGGGTTGTGTAGCGATAATTGGGGACAGGATAGGTATGTGTAGGGAAAGGGGCCAGACTTTGCCGTGCTATATTCATTAATAATGGCCATCAACTTTGTTTTTTTACACAATTGCCATTTCATCTAATCAACGGTCTAGATTTGTGCAGAGTATTTAGATAAAAACTGGAGCCTTAGATCTTAGTTTTTGGCGGCAAAATTGGAACCTGATTTTGGCAAAAATTTCTTATCAGCTTTTATATACTACCTCCGTCCCGTGAAACATGGGACATTTGCTTTTTAGGAAGGATTTAAGGGAGTGTATTTTGGTATTGAATTTCCAAAAATGTCCTTTGATGTGATGGGTAAAAGTATGATTTGATAGATAGATTATTAGTAAAAAAGTATGATGTGATAGTTAGGGTATGAAAAAGTAAGGAGTAAAAGTGACTTTTTAATAGAAATGAGAAGTGTTTTGTGGGACAGATAAAAAAAGAAAGGGGAAATGTTTCACGGGATGGAGATAGTATATAGTAGACTACACTACAAAAACATGCCTAATTGGCAGGACAGGTAGGCACTCCTCGTCCGTGCCTTCAACGAGAAAAAAATAAAGCCACACGGTACATTTTTATTCGTGCTTGATTTTGGCTCTAAATTTCCGCGCCTATGCATACCCATAGCAAAACAAAGTTTTATATTTTAAATATATTATAATCCAAAGATAACAATCCTAACTCAACCTTGGTGAAGAGAACGTATTTCTGATTGGGATATAGGCTAAAAAAAAGAGAAATTACTTCCGAGGCTGAAGAAGTGCATGAAGTCCCTCACAGAAGGGGTCCTAAGCTTGTCACAGCAGCGCAAAATGTAGGATGCCAAATATTTGTGCGCATTAGCTTTGAATTGCCAGGGAGAAGGTCCTAATTTTTGCACACCTCACGGATAATTAAACGGGTGGAGTGCAAGTCTGAGGCCGTGAAAAGCCGAATCGTAGTGCATCACCATAAAACATTCTGGCGCTGGATTGTAGGTAAGTGAAATCCCACCGACAACATCCGGATGATGGATTTTGAAAGGCACCCGCAAGAGATCGCGCACGAGGGCAAGTTCAGAGCTCTTGAGCTTGAAGGGGCATAGTTCTTCGTGAACAATTTCGACGGATGGGGCCATGTTGCGAAAAACCTTTGTGGAAAATTGGGAAATTCGTAGAGAAAATTGGGGATGAATCTGGAACAGTGCAGGCACCTAAATAGGGTAGGGAGTTAGAGCGGGAATGAGAACGTCACAACGCAAAGCTGAGAGTGGGAAATGCATTCGTTTCCGACCCATTGCTCAGACCAAGGGCGGCAAAACTATAGTTCCTTACCGACGTGTCGCTAAGAAACTAGTGGGCTTGTGTTGGATATCCGGACCCAATAGATGTAAATGAATGGCCCAGTCTACAGGAGTGGCTTGGGCCGGTGCGGAACAAAAACTGGTAAAAAGGATACTAAAGGCCCTGTTCCCGTTGATAGGCCCAAACGGATAATACAGTACCGAGCCATGTGAAGTTCAAGGGTTGAGAGATAACCACTGTAACGCCACGAAATATGGCCTAAATTTTATTATAAAACAAAAGTAATTTTCGTCCAATAAGAAATATTTATAGGTTGACCAAAAATAAATGATTTTCAAAATAATGACTTTTTGTTAAAAACTTATTTTTATGGATATGTCTCAAAGAGACGAATCCAACGGTACAGTTTATGAACCAATCTCATTTATAGATTTCAAGTTATGTCGATTTTAAATATTAAAATTTGTAACTTTGACCCATAAAATAAACTCAATCCAAAGGTGATTTAATAAGATTATAAATCATAATTTTGACACTTGACAACACCATATTTATCATTTGGATTTAATCCATATATTTATATCTCAATCATATTATAAAATTAATTTATGACAGAGACAGACCCAGACATTAAGAAAAATAAAACTTATCAGAAAAATATTTTGATTACGTCAAAATTCTAGTTTTGACAGTCTCATTCCAAAAACACAATTCGTTTTCAATTCGGAGTAGCTTGGGTGAAAAAGCGTGTACCGTTTGGAGTAAAC